TAAATATTTTGGCATACACTCTGTGAGAACATTTTGCTCTGTAACAATCCACAATACTGTCCAAGTACCTCAGAAGATTAATCTCTTCTCACACAGCCAGGACCGACCGCCTGCAGCTGTCCAGCTTAGTGAGAGTGAGTCGAAGCACAGCTCTGACTCTAAAACCTGAAAACAGTCTTTTTTCGTGCTTTGGCCTCTTTCCACAACATTCTCGCATCCAAATATATTTCTTCCATTCAGTTATTTTAAAAAACACTTCACAGATTCTCAGAATTGCTTTTTTTCCCTCCGTTCTTCCTCATTTAAAATCCACTTCTCAGTTCTTTAAATGAAGATTTCCACCGCCTCAGACTCCAACTCTTCCAGGCCTCTGAAAGGGTTAAACAGCAGCTTCTTAGGAGCTTCCTTTTCTGGAGAAACAAAAAAACAAGGAGGAGAGAATAAATAAGTGGATACATGTTTTAAGGCTAAAACAGTGGAAAAAAATGTCCTAGATACAGCTCAGCTATCAGTGAGTAAAGGTTAACAGAGATTTTCCACAGTCAAACAGAGCGCTCTGGTAAATGTGCTCAGTCAACAGATCCACATTATTTCCTAACCATGCACATTCCTCAAGGCCCACATTATGAACCATGACCTGCACAGATGCTATCTGATCGGCTGGTTAAGCAGCGGCATGGTTAATCAATGTGGACGTCCATGAAGTTGAGGTCCAAAGCTCCTCTCATACAAACACAAAAGTCTGCTTACATGCAGTGTGTGTATGTGTGCAGGGTTTTTTTCATGCTGGGCTCCACATGCGTGGAAATCATTTATCATTCCAACTTTTATAGTGAGAGCAGTGCTGGATTATTGGCCCTTGCAAACAAACACACTCGTGCATATTTGATAGATCACTCACCACTGTGGAGCTTAGTTGTGCTGGCAGCCTCGTTGGTTCCCTCCGTGTGCCGCTCTAGCGTTCCAGATTCAGACTGAGCAGAGAAGGGGCGGTTTGGCAAAGTCTGATCATCAGAAAGACTCTTACCTAAATGAAAACATCAGTATCTGTCAACACCGGTCTCACAGAGGTTGTTATGTTTTCACCCCAGCACTACACAAAAACAACTAAAGTGATTTCCACGAAACTTAATAATGGTCAGGGAAGAACACATCTTCACTATTTTCTCATCATAATGATAGTTTAATCTAATTACTAACTAATCTATTCTACATCAGATATATAAGTAAAAGGTGTCTGTCTGAGGATGTAATAGAGGAAGAAAAGTCGGCTGCTTTTGTCATTCTCCTCACCTCTACTCTTCGTGTTGCTCTTTATGGTGCTGATGGAAGGGGTGGAAGAGGCAGGTCGGAGAGGGCCCCCCGCTGCGATTAGGTAGTTTGCTCGGGGACACTGCTCATCCTTACGCCCCTGGTCCTGGTGCAGCCGCTGGTTGAGGATCTTGATCACAGCGTCCTTTTCCAGGATCTGAGCGTAAAGAGCACGGATCCTGATGCAAAACAGAAACATGGAAACACAAATCAGAAAGCAGGAAACCCAATGGTGACACAAACACTTAGTGCTGTTGTGATTTGTTAAAAGTAAAAGGAGATTAAACACTAGTAGGCACCTGTTTTCCATCTCCTGATTCCTGTAGTCAACTGGCAGGTCTTCGTTGAAACTGTTGTTTGAGGAGTGGCAGGGCGAGTGGTTAATGATGGTGGTGTCTCTGTGAAGGTTGAGATTGAAGCTTAGATTCAGCTGAAAAATTCATGCGTGCATGTACATTCCAGCAATTATCCAGCCCCATCTTTACCTCTGGGCAGCGGCAGTGGCAGCCACCTCCATGGCGAACTGCCTCATGGTGCTCTCCTCCAGGTACTTCTGCTCCCAGCGCACCATGTCGGCCTCAAGAGCCAGGATTTGCTCCTCACGCTCCCGCAGACGCTCTTGGAGGGAGCCCATGGTCACTCCTGGTGGCTGGGATTGCCGCTGAGGTGGGAAGTGAAACAGACACAAGTTAGGCGAAAAGAAGAAAGAAGAGAAACTGAAGCTCCTGTGTTACAGATCGAATCATACAGCAATTCGCTAAATGTACCTGCTGTGCCCTCAGACTCCTCAGCTCCTGCTCTAGCCGCGTCCTCAGCTTCATCTCCAGGCTCTCCCTCTTCTCGCAGGTGGACTGCAGCTGAGCCAGTGCACTCTGAAGCCTCTCCACCTTATCCACATAAGCCCTCTTCCTCCTCAACGCCTCCTCGAGCTGGCGGCCTCGTCCTCGGGCAGCCTCCAGGGCCTCCTCCAGCCCCTTTGTCCGGGCGCTCTGCTCCTCCGCCGTGGTTCGCAACCGCTGCACTTCTCGCTCGACGCGCTCCCGCTCAAAGTTCTGCTCCTCATCTGAAACAAAAGATACACATATATAAGGATGCATGTTTGATTCATGTGGATTTGATTTTAATAGCATTGCTATGAGATGTTATGTTACAAAATTAAATTAAATAATTTCTCCTGCTTGAGTCTGACCCCAGTAATAAGTACCAGGGTTGCTACATGGTGGCCAGTGTTCTTCATTTAGCGAAGCACTTCTGGAATGCTGAGAGGAAAGAGGGGGAGGAAGGGGGGAGAAAGCCCCCCTATCCCTTTGACCCACATAGCACAGAGCATTCCTCATCAAGGCCATACAAACACCATCACTCTGCTCGAGCCCAGTTCCTCAAACAGACAAACATAAATCAAACTAACAACAGGTGGGGGGGGGCACTCATTTACCACTTGCACTGCAGCTTTGTAATTTAGAGCCAGTTCATAAAGAGGTGCGTGGATCAAACTCCCCATTAATAAAGCCTTCTTACCAATAAGCTGAGGTTATGCAAGTGAAATTCCTGCATGCAGGAAGCTACAAGAAAAAAAAGGGCCCAATGCTGCATTTGAATCCAGTCCGGTCAAGCATGTTGATTACATGGATGTGACTGGGCGACTGGGGGTGGGGAGTGTCTACCCAAACAAAGTGACATACTCACTTTGCTCGAGGAGTTTGGCCACGATGTGCTGGTTGTGGTCAGCTGCTTGAACTTCTTTTGCGACATGCGTTCTGGCATTGTCCAAGTTTTCTGCAAAGCAACACAATTTTGAAATGTAAATTGAAAACCATTTGCATGTTGGAGCTGGTTTTATGGCAGACTATTTTGGTGGATGTTTTTTCTGTGGCTGTACCTCTGAGGTCTCTGTTGAAATCCTGCAGCTTCCTGATCTCAGCCACCAGCCTCCTCCTCAGCGTCTGCTCCAGGTTCTCTCTCTTCGTGCTGCCCTGCATCAGCGTCTCGTAGGCCTCAGAAATACGCTGGATCTCCTGCTCCAACTGAAAGGAGGAAGAAAAGAGACACAGGCGGAGGGGAAGGATAGAGGAGGATTATGGGAGAGGGGAGAAAGGAGTGTGGAAATAGGGAAGGTAGAGAAGAGGATTTTTTGGGTTAACCTACTTTACATATCAGGGAGGAGCTGGAATGTTGATTCATGTTGTTGAGTACATAAATACACTTTACGTATGGCTGCATTTGTGACTGTGTGTATACTGTACACTCAGTCTGTGTGTGTGTGTGTATGTGTGTGTGTGTGTGTGTGGTATAATTCTGAGAAGGAATTCAAGCCCACACCACTCCCTGTGAGACTGATTTATATCTACATTCCTGAGGGCTGATAGCTCTAGTTCCAGGTGTGTGAGCGCACAAGAGCGTGCACATACACAACACACCTCAAGGTTAAAACGCACACAAAGACTCACACACGCACAGAGGTCTGGGAAGGATGCCAGCGGAGGGAAGGTGTGCATGCCTGTGCCTGGGTTGTGGAAACGGCAAAGAGACACCCACCATTACAGCAGTCACACAGGCATGTTTACTCAGGGCTGCGGCCTGACGGAGAAAACTTTCCAACCCTGGCAATTATCATTCTTTAAGGCTGAGACAAGGCATGGGCCATGTGACATAACTCCAGCAGAGAGTGGAGTGGATTTTACCAACATTTGTGAAGGTGTCTGGTGTCTCTGAAGCAGTTTCCTCTGCATTAAACAAGAAAATGTCTTATTCTGTCTTATAGCCTGTTTAGTTGGAGCATCACACGTTAAAGGCAAATTAAAAGAGCAGGAACAGAAAAAAGTGAAAAGGGGGAAACGATAAAAACAAAAGGGACCTTTCACTTTTTACACAGCAGCCCACCACCTGCCATGGACCCACCACCCCACCCCCCATCAGCTGTGCGCGGCTCACAACCGCATCGACTGCTGTCGCACAAGCCCTAGAAAATCTATGGCCCGCTGGAACTAAAGCGCACACACTCTCTGTGGCCTCCACTGGGTCAGCTAACACAATGAGAGGAGTGTGTAAACACAGTAGCAAGGCTGCGACCTCTTGTTTGTGCCTCTATGTTATGGAGGTAGCAGCTGCTGATCTCATCTGTCCAGTCCAGATGAGGGAGTGTGCCTGGAGTTGGATGTCAGGGAGACAACTGTACACTGGGGTTGGGTTTCACTGACAGGTGGCTGGGATGGAGGATTTCATCTGGCCATTAAGCTAATAAATAACATTGGCGTCCTTTCATCTGAATTCAGTTCTTGCCATCTTTTTAACTTATATTCCTATATTTGAAGACCGTCTTTTGTGTTATTTGAAAGGAAGATAAGTGTTTAGCGAGTATTCGCCTTGATAGACATGTCAGCTGTGTTACAATAAGATGTTCTCTCAGGGTTTTACCTTCTGAATACGGCTGGTCTTCTCCCTGTGCCCCTCCAGCTCTTGTCTCAGCCTCTCATTTTCCATCAGCAGCAGCTCCACCTGACTGGGCTCCTCCAGGCCAGCAGGTGGCAGGCTGCTGAAAGTGTTGTAGCAGGGGAGTTCGGCGGGCTGACCAGACTGGACATACCTTACATGAGAGAAACATTATTAAGTTAAAACAAGCCCATAGCTCAGTGATGAATCTGAACTTGTAGCCACTCTAGCTGAAGAAATACATAGTTGGAGCAACAAGCTGGAGTCGATATAAAAAGGGCCTATTGGGATTTTTGGAGCAAAGCTTCTGAAATATCACTCTATTCCTGTCTTATCACCAAGCAGCCGGGCTGACTACGGTGGCAGTGAAGAATGCAAAAGTCTATAAGAGGAACATACTTTTATAAAAGAATCCAAGCATGTGAAACTATCCTGTGACAGTATGCCAAGCATTGCAAACACCTACAGGGCTGGACTTGTTCTCCTCTAAGTATTTCAAGAAGGAAATGTGAATTGGTACACAGGCTCCGGTGTGATTCACACTGAAAAGTATGTGTTTACGCATGTGAAACACAATGACGATTCCTGGGAGGTGATTACACAGCAGTCTCATAGAAAAACACTACAGTGCTGAGCATGATGTCATTTAACAGTCGTTTTAAAAACATGCGCACGCAATCACTCATCAGGCCATGTCCACTGAACTCCTCTGTACCTGTGCTGCTGCAGGGGCTCCTGGACCTGGTGAGGGATAAATCCTTGGCTCTGAATGGGGGCTGAGTACTCTGGAGGAGGATTGTGTTTGCCCAGGCTCAACCCGGTGCTTTGCAGGGCTTGTGGGGTGTAGTAAGGCAGCTCTGGGTAGCTGTGAGAGGTGCTCTTGGTGGCCTCTGCCTTAGAAGCTGCAGCATTCCTCTCCAGAGATATCTGCATATGATGCTCACTGAGTGACCGCACATGGCTGCACTTCAGTTCTGCCAAATCTGCCTCCTCGTGGAAGGCCCCCTCATGCAGGAGCTTCCCTTCATGGAGCTGCCTGATCGGGCCCGCAGGGGCCCAGTGCGAGGCCAGATACTGCGAGTGCACCTTGGCCTGCTCGTAGGTCGGCAACTCCTCGCCGTGCAGCTGGTAGAGCTGATAACCACTTTCTGAGTGGTGGTCTCCCTGGTGCTCCTGGCCCTGAGGCTCCTGCCTCGCAGAGAGCTGAGGGAAAGGAGGGTCCTCCTGGGTGAGACTCTCCAGGGAGGATCGTGGGCTCCTGCCCATGTCACCTCCGCTGCTGGGTCCACTGTTGCTCCCGCTGCCTCCACGCAGGGCCTGCTGCTGGATGGCTAACAAGGTGCGGGTGTCTGTAGGGTTTCCATAGCGGAGCTGCTCCTGGATGAGTCGGTGCAGTACCGTGCCAGATGGCTCTTCAGTGGACGACATGCTGCTTTGTGTGGGTTTTTATTCTCTGGAACGATTGGTTGGGCTCTTCCTCAGTATGAAAGTATAGAAATAAACCAGCTGTGAACCTGGAACACAACAGGAGAAGAGAATAAATCAGTCTGATGATGAACATATGAAGTGATTAAACTCATACTAGACTAAAAATAAAGTCACACACAGAAGAGAGGCTGTGAAACATGTGGGACTTCACATGGACTTCAATACCAAGCACACACATTTTCTTGAATGCAACATTCTATAGTATATGATTGATTATTTCTTTAACAGCAGAAGTATCATATGAACCTAGTGAGGCTTTGCCAACAGCGACAACACATCGATGCGGAGAGATTTTCCACAGCAGGAAGAAAGTGCATGCGCCAGAAATTCCGATCTCACGGGGGAGCAATAGCGCACAAAACCCCGCGTTTTAAACAACTTAGTCTCCGGTGATATCACTTTTAATTCCGACATTACATCCCGATGCAAACACACAACACTTGAAAGTCAGACTGCAGCAACTTGAGTGCAGTTTGTCGCTCGGGTTTCTGAGATAAAAAGCAGCAGAGTCTCTTACCAGCTCACGCTCTCATCATAACAAAACCCTCTGCTCGGCGTCGAAGTAGAAAAGTCGCAGTAATCCCGCTTGTTCTTCTTGTTCCTCCTCCTCTCGTTGTTTTTAACATGAGTTTGTCGGAGTCAGACGAGTCTCATCCTCCTCCCCCACTTCTCTCTCTCCCCGTGTCTCGCTGTGAAATGATTGTGGAGAGAGCAGGCGGCGATAATAAGTAACCGAGGAGGGACTGAGGTCGGAATGTGAGGAATGTCAAACGCGAGGTCCCTCAGGGATCAGAGGAGTAAAACCACACGAGAGGAGGAGGAGGAGGCTGCAGTGTGTCCGATCACCAACAACGAGGAGGTTCAGTAGAATAAAGATGTGTATGATGAAGGGTGTTTGTTTGAGGAAGCAGCGGGATCATTATAATGTGTTTGGGAAACAAATAAAGGGGAGATGCGAAAAAAAATAGGGTTTTGTACGGTGGCCCTGAAGTCAAATTGATAAAGCAGTGGTAAAATAAGAAAACACGATGAAAGAATGAACAGCAAATATAAAATGGAATGAGGAATAAAGAGAAAGAAACAAAAGAGTAAAAAGAAAAAGCAAGAAATGGAAAAACAGATGCATTAATGCACTGTCTGACAAGAAGGAACATGTTTTGTGATTTGTATGTTTATCGCCTCATTTTTAAAACATTTTTGTAAGAGTGTTTGTTAAGTTAAAAACTAGTAATATGTGCTAAATGTCCACCTTGATATTAACGGATTAATCGATGAATATTATCAATCCATCTGTATTTTACAATGCATTATTATTATTATTATAAAGTAATCATGTTTTCTGTGCAGTGAAAACTAACGTCCCTTTAAAATGTGGCATAAAACATCCAATCTCTCTTGAAGGCACAGTTTTGTCTTTTGAGCTTGAGTACCTGACTTTGCCTCACTGGAATGAAGTAGTGCTTTTTATAAATATTATGTATTTCAGTAGCATAGGGGAAATGAGAGAAGGCTCCTTTAGTTAATATTTAGTCCTATTTGTTGATTTAAAATTTCATTTAAAGTAAATACTGACTTCCATGCTTACCTCCAGACAAATGTCTCATTTTGGGGCATGTTCAGCTGACCTGCTGTGCACTCACTGAGATTCTCGTAGGTGCACCCACAATTAATGTGAATTAGTCGACTGGGTGTGTGTGTAGAACAAAGTATTTCAAGTATTTTACCAGTAATTAAGAGCAGGTTTCATTGTTCTATCCAATAAATATCTGAGGCACTTAATTTAAAACCTAAATGGAGAAGTAGCATAAAGTGTAAAATTTAATAATTCAAGGATCCTAAAAATGAACTTGTTTCGACTGGATTCATTTCAAACCTTTAGAAGTCCACATGTTGTATGTGCAGAAACAGGAAGTGCAGATATCTCTGCTCTCCTAAAATCTGCTTACATGTTATTTTGTGGCATATTACAAATGCAACCCCTTGGCCTCCACTGTAGGTTGGTAGGGGTGAGTAAAATATATCTGTGCAAGTGTGTGAAGGCAGTGAACGCCTTACTTGTGTGTGTCCATGTGGTGTGTGTGTGTGTGTGTGGCAGCTGTCCCCTGGAATCTGAGGTCGGTGCTCGCCCTATTACTACAAACACAGTGGCTCTTTGTACCCATCATCGCACTACATGGGTCAGAACAGTGCCTGGAGAACGCCACACATGGGCACTCCCTCCCATTGAGTTGCTGGTTCAAACCTCAAACATGCAGTACGTCCTCCCGCTGAGACAAGGTTACACACAGAATCACAGCATGGATGGATGGATGGATGGGGAGCCAGCCAGAAACATAATTAACTGTCATTCCACTCATGAACAACATCATTTAATTAGTTACTCAATTCCTTTTGGTTTATGCACCTTCTCCAAATAATAGACCTATACATTTCCTGCCTCAAGGTAGAACACAAATATTTATGACACACTCTATTTCTGTCTGAGCCAAAAGACAAGACTATGCTATTCATTACCTGCTCAGATCTAACTACTGATATATTGAGGACTTTAGACAGGACAATTAATTTTACTGTGGGCCCTTAAATAGCAGAGATTTTACTCTGATCATGTCATATCATATGGCAGTGGAGGGAGAGAAAAGAAAGAAAGGAGGAACGATTATTTTCTGCTTTTGCATTGACCGAATTTTAAATCCAAAACCACAGAGTAGGTCAAACTTCATTAGAATAAAGAAATGGATGCGATCACAGCAGGACAGGCCACAGTCATTGATTGTTATACAGTATCTGTCCAATGGCCTCAAGCTGATGCTCTCATTCGGCTCAAAAATCTATAAGCCCGATGAGATGGTATTGATATGTGTCCACAATCATCTCCCTGGCTCTTTTACCCTCCTTAATTAAGCTCACACACATTGGTACGCATTCCCGTCATGTTTCGAATGCTGCGTATTCTTAAACTGGCTCTTTTTAAAACATATGCAGACACTGCGTCTCCGTGGGCGGCCCTCACACGGAGGTGACTGGTCACATTCACACTGTGGAGCAGCTCAGTCTCCACCTTTTTAAAAGTCTGCTCATGTCATTTAACACCACCTCACGACTTCCTCCACTCCCTCCATGTGTGTGTGTGTCTGTTGGTGGACAACGCCTCTGGCCATTTTGTCCTCCATTGTATCACACTTCCTGTGAACTTCCAGAGGAATGCAGGGCCGACCCTTTGAAAATTATGGACGCTTTCAAACAGTCATTACAGGAGATGAACATCTAAAATGGCGTGCCACAAAAATTCCTCAGAATCTGTCTGAAGGTGCTGAAGATTTCGAGAACTGTTCCTTGTTTGTGTGGAGCGAGACTGAGGAATATTAAAGGACACACTAAATAAAACACAACTGTGTTGTTGCTATATACATGATTGCCTCTGAGGTTTTGGTGGAAACATGTGCACAAACAAGGAAACAGTGACAGTATACAAACTACCAGTTACACAATTAGAAACAGACTCTAAATTTATTCTTTGTGTTAAAGTCAGTATGAAAATGTTTTTGTCGAAGGGAGGGACACAGGAAGACAACGTGTGTGTGTGTGTGTGTGTTGTGAGAGGGGGAATCCTTAAAGGTAGAAAATTCTGTAATGATTTACAATGAATGGAAAAGCCTCCTGTATGGAGTGAATTATGATACAATGGTGTGAAAGGCCCGAAGGAGGCCGTTTGTAGTTTTGTGTGTATCCTTCAAATTCCATTGAGAAAAGTTAACAGTCAAACCAAACTGAGGCTCTGATCCTTTGGTAAATGCTATTTAGTATTACTACTATTAATAATATAATACTATACTATTTTTTCAGTCTCAGCTCTTGTTCTTGGTAATTTCTCATCTTCAGACCCCAGAAACTTTATAAATAGCTCAAACAAATGCAGTTGGTGACAAGAAGATGGGCTATTGGCCTAGAACAGTTGGAAACCACAGATTTAGACTCACTTAAAGTAACTTTATATATTTGAAAATTTAAACAGCTTTCCCATTCTTCTCTTCTTAACTGAGCATTGTTTGCTGAGCAGACTTTTTACTTTTCTGTCATTGAAAAGAAACTCTTGTTTAACCATATCATCAGAGACGACTTCTCATCATATCTGCTGAAGGCTGTTTGATTTACCGTAGTTGAGAAGTAATTATATGAGGAGAGATGTGATGTGTTAAACTGAAGACCAAACAACAAGATGTTTGGCTTTGTCAGTCTTTCTTTTTCTATCTCTTCTTCTTTTAAAATCTCTGCATGACTCCGGAGCTCCATGATGGTATCTATCTTGAGATAGCGTTAAACTTGGATAGTGACAGGATGCGTGTTACAGTGTTGGACCGTGTGGGAAAGAACGAGACAGAATAGCAGACGGGGTCATGTGATACGACGGGATTGGCGAGGAATGTAACTGATAGTGTTGGAAGGAGCGAGATGGATTCCTGTCCTTGGCTCTCACATCCACGGATGGCTTCCTCGTTCACACAATACACAATAGAAGAGGACAAGGTGCGCTGCTCTCAAGTGGTATCCTGTTCACAGGGAAACACTGACGACAGGCTTCCCATGTATTCACATTTCACTACAGATTCACTCCTGATGCCAGGGTTGGTTTCCAGAGTCAATTATGTTACGATCTAACCTAATTTCTCTATGACACCTGTTGAGAGTGAAAGCTAATAAATAACCTGTGTTTAAAGTGAAGTGTGAAAAACCTCTGCATGTTGCAGCAAGTCGAGCAGCATTCAAGGGAATTTCCGATCATTCGCAGCAAACAGACTTCAGACATGAGTCACAAGCGCTGAATCCGCTGAGTGGGGCACTCGCATCTGGGACAGGTTTTCTTCTGTTGCCTTCACTAAGTGAGATGATAGTTATTATTGTGTGACCTGGACGCAAACTGAAACCTAAAATATTGGCGAGTGGAGTAATTTTTTTACAATGAGTTTGAGGAGAACTTTCACACCACTGATGTCTGTACAGTAAATATAAAACTGCTTTTATCTTAAATTGGCATTTAAACTGAAGACAACGTGACAACTCTGTGAAGCAGAAGTGTCTTGGTGGCTGGCTGCAGTATAAGTTATAAATCCCACCTCATCCATGTTAGTGAGTGGGATTTGAAGCAAATAAAGATTTCTCAAAAATGGTTTCTGACATTTTCTCTATTTTATTTTTGGTTTTAATTTTGATGCCCAAGATGGCAGCATTCGTATCCGGGATATTTTAGCTGAGTTTCTGGACAGTAGGAGGAAACTGAGCCACGTCATCCATCTTTAAATGAAGTCTATGATCTTTTTCCATATGAATGGAGTCTTAATCTTCTCAACTAACTCTCATCAAGAATAAGTGATTTTTCCAAACTAATCTTTTAGTTGACTCATTTGTTATCACAATATAGCACTGAGAACATCTCACCCAGATGTTGTAGCAAAAGGAAAACATGATTCAAGTTTTCAGTTGCTTCAATCGACTCCAATCATTATGTTCAGTTTTCAGTTCTCAAAAAAAGAGACCCCATGATCCAAACCCCGCCTGTCTGGAGAACTGGAAAATCCTCATTTTTCTCCACAGTAATGATATCTGAGAGGTGTATTGTCCTGTTAGCCTGCATTCAAAAGTGAAAGGAAGCCTAAAGCAAAAGAAAAAGCAGTGATGTGCTCTCATTAACTGAAAGCTTAAATAGTACAATGATTTCATTGACCTCTGTTGGCAGCGTGTGAAGGGCCTTTACATTGACGAGTGCGACATCACTTTGTCAATGAGAATCCGAAGTGACATGTACCA